GGGGGTGCCGATCCCCGGGGGGTTCTGAGCCTTCGTCGGCTCCTCCCGGAGCGGTCAGGGTCCCTGGACGTTTCAGGAGAATGTGTTGCTTTGCTTCGTAGCCATTGTCGCGGTGGTGTAGTTAATAAAGTTAAAGGATCTGGTCTCGGAGCTCTGTCGCCCTTTTCAGTCTGTATACATGGGTGGCTAATGTGGAAATGGAGCGAAGATCGTTTCGTCCATCTGCCGCCCCACGAGGATGTAACAGGGTGAGGTGGTGTTAGCCTGGAACGGGAGCGCTTTGGTTAGAGAAAGCTGTTGGTTTAAGCTACGTTAAGGACCCAAATTCTCAAATTTCTGAGAACTGAAGGTATTTTGCATTTTTGAAGTAAATATGTCCACTTTTGATCTCTGGCTGCTATACCCTGTTAGGAATTAGGTGTGTTTAATTTATAATAAAGTACAGCTTGTCATTCGCTTTGGGACTAGACTACATCAAAGATATGTTACAAAAGCATATCCTCAGTAGTATTTCCCTGCAGGAACTCCTCATAATTTAGCTTTTCACAGAATTGACATTTGTCAAATCTTTGTTTTGTGAAGTAATATCAAAAGACTAATTCCTCCTGAGGCCAGGATAGTGCTTCTTGGTTCTTGTAGTCTGCTTTTCATTCACTTATTTTAATGGGAAAAGGTCAAGTGAATCACTTTAATGACTACACAAGTGTATATGCACATTTAAGTTATTAATAGGTTCTTAATGCTTTAAAGCTTCCTGCATATTTTTCCCATAATTGGATTTAATATGACACTTTCTCTTCCAAATAACTCTACTGCCTTTTTTGTTTTAACTTGAGAAGGAAAATGTAGTTTTCTAAGATAGTTAAATCAAATGGCCCAAGTTGATGACTCTCAAGTGAAAGCACACAAGTGCCTGCCTGTCCGTCCCTGGGTGAGAATGGCAGTTCCTCTCCAGGGAGGCTCGTTTGTGCTGAGTGCCCCCGTGGCTTTGTAGTAAAGATTTGTTTCCTCTAAACTTGGCTGAGCATCATATAGGGAAAAGATTAGGGGACAGATCTGGTGTCTTGTGGGCTCCCTTCTGGTTATGTCTTTTGTAATGCTACAAGTGCCATTCATTCAGAACTGGGAACCATATGTGCTGATAGTTGTATCAGCGATCAGAATTAGCTGCATCAGCTTTCAGAATTAGAGATCATGGAAAAGCTCCACAGCTGTCAGTTTGGAGAGCTGTCTAGACCTTTCTCATTTCTCTGTGTCTTTGCCCTGCCACTCTCAGCTGAGCAGTTCATCTTATTTTTTACAACAGGGATAATGTGGAATGGTCAGAAGAGCAGGAAGCCAGTGCCAGGAGTAAAGTTCAAGAGAACAGCTCACAGCTATTGCCACAAGACAAACAAGGTACTTCTGGATGCTATTGTAATGCTGAGTCTTATCTTGTTCATACAAGAGCGGAACAGTCTGGCCAGAGCTCCATATGCATCTTCACTTATTCCTCCCTTCCCCCCATCTGCCAGATCATTCAAAGTACATAACCTAGTAGTTGATAATGAAAAATGGAGGAGGAGGAATCTTTCTGTTCTTAGTTTACCTCTTTGTGACTTTTCCACCTTCTCCAGAAACTCATCCTACTAGAACAGAAATTATATTGGCTGGGAGGAGTCGTCGTGGGTTGAGCTGCTTTGTTCGTGTTGTGTATGTTTAAATACTTGTTAGTGTTCCTTGTCAGCAAACTCCTTTCCGTGTAGAGCAGCAGCCTCATTTAGTCTTATTTTTTCTGCTTGCTTTTGCTTGCTAAAGCTTAACTTCTAACAGACAATCCTCTGTTTGCTTGCATGCTGTGGAGCTATCCCTAATGCAAGCTCGGTTTTTCTCTTCAGAGGGCCTGATGAAGTAGTGTCCATATTCATCTCTACCAGGTTAACAAACAGCATGATAATGATTAAATCAGAAGCGAAGAAAAATTATTTTATCCTGATTGAAGTGTTTATCATCAGAGAGGCAGAAAAGGGATTCCAGAGTTTTTTGTTTCATCAAACTTGGCTTAAAGGATATTTATACATCCAAAATGCAAAGCTTACCTGGATCTGAACCAAGCTAAAGGTGCACAGCTCTAAGTAATACGGCCGAAGCTGTTCTGAGTTGGTTAATAATGCGTCTTTCCTCCACACCTGCTAGATATCATCCAGTCCCTTAAATGGCGGGGAAATGGCTTCCTGTTCTTTGGTGTGATAAGAGACTTGTCTGGTGATGGTCTTGTTATACCCTGCCGAGCTCTAGGATGGATCTGCTCCTTTTGTTCAAGTTAAATTGAGCGTGGCATCTGTAAGGCGATGCTGAACGCTATTGGAGCTATTGAGACACTTCCCATATAGCTTCCAGTTGTGTTCACAATAGCAAATTTAATTATACCAAAGAGCAACCCTCCTAATTTCTTGGATTCCCAGAAGTATCCAGCAGTTTCTATTGTGATACCCATTGTGCTGAGTTCATTTTAAAATCTGGTTAACATTAAAGGATGCTGTCTGTCATGCTTTGAGAACCTATATACAACTATGAAATTGTGGAGCAATTCACTGTTAGAGCAGTTTGTCAGGTCTTCGTGATGTATTTCCCAGAGTGAACAATGGAGGCCAGTGAAATTTTGATGGCTGCTATTCAGTGGGAAGCATGTGGAGACAATGGGATGGCTGAAACGTAGGGAAGCCAGCCCAGCCAAATGTGCCTGAAGGCTCTAGTATTTTGAGAATCAATAACGTCCAGGCAGCAGAACAAAGGCAAGCTATTGGTCATTATGGCTGTATTATTCTGTGGACTTCTTGGGGCTGTCAGAATTTGTTCTGAAGGAGGAGAGAACTTCTGTGGGGTATGTCGAAGATGTGTCTCCTGGCTGGGAACAAAGAAAGAAGTGGAAGAGCTTTTTGGTTTCCTTTTGAGGCTCCATAATTAGCCCGCATGCCATTCAGGGGGTCCCCGGTTCTCTTCCTGTCTTTTGTGAACAGGTACTTTTGTTTGCCCTTCTGCAATGTGGAAGGGTGAGTATGGGCTTGGCTCTGGGGGTTTCCTTACAAAGACGAGCAGAAAAGTCAGGAGTCCTTATCAAGAATGCCTCTGGAGGAATCTGGCTCGCATACCGATGTCCCCGTGAGCTAATACCACAAAAAGGGTCTTGAAGCAAGTATTATGTGAACATTTCTGGCATAAGTTGTGCAGGAAGTCAGACTGAAAAATTAATGTGGTCATTTTTTTTGCTTTAAATCTGTTTCTTGCATGATCTTTGTCAGCTGGCCCCTGATTTCTTGCATTTGTATTGTTACTGATCCTGTATTCCAGTGCTTTGAAAACACCACACTATGAGGTAAATGAGCTTGAATAGAGCTTCCGCATATGTGGGTTGGAGTATAACAGCTGTTTGATAGCATCCAACAGAATTTCACAATAATTTAACACAGGAAGAGCACAATGTCCTGTTTAGTGTTATACTGTGGCAAAAATGTGGGTAATCCAAAATGGCTGGGCTGGAATTTTGCCCCAGCACCTTGGGTAAGCATCCCATTACAATCAGGCTGTCATGGGATTGTTAGGGACCAGCGGGAATCGGGACTTCTTGTTTCTGTTAGGTGAAAGAGTGTCTCCAGCCTCAGCAGACTTGCATATCCCTACTAGTGCATGGAAGAAGTCACAGTTCAGGAAGGAGTGAAGCACCAGGGGCTGAATCAGTAACACTTCTGCCTCTGACATTAGCAGTCATTGAATTCTCCTATGCAAAGAGTAAACTGACTTAACCCTGCTTGCTTTGAGCTACAGTGGGATCATGGCACAAACTTACCACTTTAGTCTAATATCAGACATTAAAATTTCTTTCTGCTTGGGATTTAAGGACAAGGCTTCTTAAAAGGAGAAAATCCTTGTAGTTGTGGTGAAGAGATTATTTCTGTATATAGCTCACTGTGTTCTAGGGATAGGTCCCACTAAAAATACACATACAACTGACTTCTGATTCTGTTAAAGCCATTTTTGTCTATATTTGGCTAAGGCTACATATGTTTCCAGGTGTTCTTGGTTCCTTTTACTATCTCCCTTCAGATATCTTCTAAACATTTGTATGCTTTTCAGAAAGACTAATAAATTGTCGTTCAGAGAGTAATACTAATCTCCAATTTTAAGACGCCTGCTTTTTCTCGTAACCCTGTTCTTAGCAGATGTGGGAGAGAGGTTATCCATTCTGACATACAGTCATTGTCCTTAAGTGTGGGAGAATCATTTGCGTTCAGGAATGCACGTGTTGCTGTGCGAAGATGGCTAAGGAGTTGCATGTTATTGAAATGCAGTTGGGATCTCTGGCTGTGGATGTTAATGCATCTAAGTGATTACAAGCATAGGATGCTATAATTAGCTCTTATTTCCCAGGACAGAGAACTCATCACATGGATGAGAATTCAGGAAGCCAGCTGGATTCGTAACTACCCATTGAAAAATAGTTCCCCTAGAACTGTGCTTGATTTGAAATCTGTGAAGGTGTGTGGAAATAATTCTGTGGGTGACCTGAATGTTATTAGATTGTGGCTTTGTAAGAGTTCTTCCAGCTTTCTGTAATACTCATGTTGCTACTGGAATGTATATCCACTTGGTGTGAAAATTACAATGCTTGCTGCTAAAGTTAATTCTTACCATCTTTAGTCTACACTATTGCTTTAACAACAGTGGTTGCTTTGTTGATTCCCCTCTTTTGTTTTAATTTCATCAATGCGTGATGCTCTGACATGCGCAGAACTATAGAAAACAAAGTGCTGTAGACTGGACTCCAGCAATACTTGTGTGAAAACTTCTGTCCTGTAATCCTGGAGTATTGTGCAAGTGCTAATTGAGCTTTCTGACAGACCTGTGTAGTTGACTAATTTTCTGTCTCTTCATCTGAAAAAATGGACAGCGTCTTGGACAGGAGCTCTTCAGCTCCAGGCAGCTGTCATAGAATTCCGTAGAAATTGTAAGTGCTTGACACTTAGTGTCATGAGGCTCCAAATGAATTGTTCCAGGGAACTGAACAAGTTAGTGTTAGAGATGGAAGTGAAACCTGGTTTTCTTCATTCCAGTCTGCTTCAAAGAGGCCTTTCCAGTTGCCAGCTTCCTTTAAATCCTATCAGGAAACAAACAGTTTCCTCTTCTATCTCTTTTTCCATTTTTAGCCCTAAGTGACTGTGAGGAGGCAGGCCGAGTGTTTATGTGGGATGGCACAATTTAAATAAAGATGATTTTCAATCAATAACCTTACTTGTTAAAGCAGATTGCTGAGTAGATGTCTGCAGTGATCCCTCGCTGTCTGAACTGATTATGCTCTGAGACTTCCCTTTTGACTGCTGGTGATGATTTTGCTTGTGTTCACAGAGGAATATGAGGTGAACGCGAAGAGGTACTGGGATGACTTCTACAAAATCCACGAAAATGGCTTCTTCAAGGACCGGCACTGGCTGTTCACTGAATTTCCTGAGCTGGCACCTAACAGGAACCCAAGTCAAAATGGGGATTCTGTGCATGAATTTAGTAACAAAGAAGAATCCAACAATGAAGGGCTGGGAAGCTGTGAAAATGGACATTGTTCATTGGAAACCAGGTCAGAGAATCAGTTAAACCTGATAAAAAGCACACCTAAGATCTGCACAGAGGAATCGGCTGCACGGAAGTATAGTGAGCTGAATCAAAGTGATGGAGATTACCCAGGATCATCTGCATCTTACCGTATATTAGAGGTAATAGCTCTAAAACAGAAAGTCACACATCAGATGGTCCCTTGTATGTGTGTTAGCGTGACTGGGACATAAAAATATATATCACTGGCAAACAGCAAGTGAATGGGATAATTTCCTTAAGTCAGTAAAATGCAAAAAACAGAGCGCAGCTTAGAAGTGAATTAAATCTGTTGGGATTGTTTTGGTTCAGACTGTAAATTGGCAGAGCACAAGGAGCGTAAGAAGTTTCCAAGTTTAAAAGAGAAACTATTATTATCGGATGTTGAAACGAGCATTAAAAGTCACCTTTTGAAGAAGCTGATTCTTGTCTGTATAAAGCTTTCAGTTGTCACCTATGTTTTGTGCGTTTGTGCTGACTCTTCGTTGCCTTCGGAGGTGTGAAACAGAACAATGAAACCAAGAATGCAAAGGTGCTGTTTGGTTTGTTCCTTATGGCCCACGTAATAACAGGGAATCTCGGACTGATACAGGGTTTGTCCGAATGAAACCAAGAATGCAAAGGTGCTGTTAGGTTTGTTCCTTATGGCCCATGTAATAACGGGGAATCTCGGACTGATACAGGGTTTGTCCCAGAAAAGTCTGTAGGGCTTCTAAATACTAGACTTCTGACAGCTGGTAACAACCTTTTGCTCTGCCACCTCTAGTTTTTCACTGTAGATGTCACTGGTTGCGTTGAATGCTTCGTGTTCTATGGAAGTTCTGCCCTTCCAGGGAGAGGCAATATGAACTGTCCTTTTGATTTTATTTATTTAACCTGAGGTTTTGAGACGTCTTCAGTCTTTGATGTTCTTGGGTCCTTGTGGCTTTCCTCTCTCACGTGAGTACTCTGAGTAATATCTGTCACTGCAAGCCATCAGTGGTGTTTTCTGCTCAGTCTATTTAAATTTTACTGATTCCTTAACCATTGAGGCAAATTCCCCAAACCCAGTTGTGTGAGCCATCTTCAAATGGGAACAAACACAAGGAGTAATAAAGCAGAATCATTGTAGGCCTTGTTGTAACTTGAGGAAGAGCCATCTAGTGAAGGAAACTCTGAAGCAGCAGGATGTGATTATAGTAAAGCAAACATCTTCATCCATTGCTCTGATTTTCTGTGAAAGTGAATGCAACTAATCCGTCACCTTTGCCAGTGCCTCAGTGACTCATACTGGTTGTTATGCTTGGGATTCCAGCAATAACAGTTTTCAAAAGAGTAACAATATATGGCTTGTTAGTAAGATTTCTACAAGAACTGGCTTAGTGGTTTCCTACAAATGCTTATATGTAAGCCTGCTCCTCAGAGCTGAACATATCCAGATCTTGCAGTGAGATTTGCAAATGGTCACCGCTATGCTCAGTTGTTACTCGTGAATTTCTCTTTGTTCCATGGCTCTGGAGAGATGATTTTAAATTAGCTGCATGGGACATGCTGAAGAAATTATTTTCACTATGTGTACATCTACTTTGTTTATGCAGGTTGGCTGTGGTGCTGGAAATACAGTCTTCCCAATTTTACAAACCAACAAGTAAGTAGTTCTTGACAGGTTTTTACCTGCATGATATACCAGCCTCTGAAAAACAATCAGGAAAGTGTTGCATGTGTGTTCTTAGTTTAGACAAGCTCAGAGAAAGACCAGATGCAAATGGTACATTTGCCATCTGCAGCTTCAGACGATTGTGTTTTGAGCTTCGGAATCTTTGGTCTTAGAATGCAACCAACAAAACATGGTGTAAGTTTCTATGTCTCATTCTGAAAGCATTTTCATACAGGCCTTAGTATTTCTCCTTTTCCAGAAAGAGAAGTAAGCAGTCAGTTCCATATGAGAAGAACTGAGGCATGAATGAGCAACATGATCCACCAGATTTTGCACAAGGCATTGTTGACAGAGATAAACTAAAGCCCAGGATTTCTGGCTCCCAATTCTGTGCTCTGTGCATTCGAGACACTTCTGTAATTCCTGTGGAGCACCTTTATGTAAATGATGATAGTTTCTTTTTATTTATTTCAGTGACCCAGGCCTTTTTGTTTATTGCTGTGATTTTTCTACAACAGCTGTGGATCTTGTCCAGGTAAACTCAGTGACGACTTACGAAGGTAGAAACTACCTGGTGACAATTGCATGTTAACACAAATATATCTGCCACTGGCTGTCTGGCTGTGTTGGCAGCTTTCTGGTTTCAGCTAGCCTTGATGCTGACCCTTGTACTGGTAAATCAGGAAAACAACCTGTCAGATTGTAGAAATGAGGGAAGTTGGAGTTCTCAAAATGTCACATTGGCAGCAAACAAGTCAGCCAGATTTTCTTTCCTGTGCAGTTGGCAGTACTTTCCTAAATCCAGTGCTCTTTTAGGTGAGTAACTGCTGAACCTTGAAAACATTCAGGCTATTTTTTAACAGGAACTGAAGCTGGTTTTGGTTTGTGTGTGCGTTACCATTACTGCAGTTCTGGGAACACGGTCTGATTGCTTCTGCACAGGCAGCTGAGGAGGGATATTGTCTGTAGAGCAGGAGGCTGGAATTTAGTGAGAGGACAAATACTGCTAACAAACTTCGGGTCAGAACAGAACTTGGAATATGTGAAGTATCAAATGTCGTCAGTCACTTAATGAGATGGGGAGCACGGCAGCAGAGGCAGCGTGCCGTGTCATCCTCTTGAGCTGACACAAGCACTGTTTACAGAGGCTACTGCAATCTGTAGCAGCAGCAGTAGAAAAATACACAACTTCTTTTAGAAGTCTAAATGTGATTTTTTAAGAGCATAACTTTGGGCAGCCTGGTTTGATGTTTGGGGTATAGAGGGAGTAGTCTGCCTGTAGCTGAAATGAGTGTTGATGTCAGTGATGCAGAGAGGGGCCCTGACACTCTCCCTTTTGTAAAGATTTCCAGCTTAACAGTGTAAATCCCTCACTTCTTACCACTATTAGTGGAGAATCTGACCTTAAAATTGCAATAATCCCTCAAGCCAGTTTTGGGGTTTTGGCAGTGCTGATTGTCTGAATGTAACAAGTCCAAAGCTCTTTGTAAATCTCCCATGTGTACTTATTTTTCACGTTTCACCCCTGTTCCTTGTCTAACCAGGGAACCTCTCTGAACCCATCTTAGTGGCGTCAGATAGGTCCAGGGGGGCCTTAGTCTCAGTGAGGCTGAAACAGATCTCTGGACACACCACTTTAATTTGTGAAAGTTAAAATGCTCCCATGTCCAGATAATGTTGAGATCAAGGTCTGCTGCTAATGCTTTAATTTCTCTCCCCTTAAATACAGAATAATGCGGAATACGATTCTTCTCGCTGCTTTGCATTTGTCCGTGACCTGTGCAATGATCAAAGTCCTTTCCCAATGCCAGACGAGAGTCTTGACGTTGTTATTCTTATCTTTGTCCTCTCAGCGATTCTCCCAGAGAAGTAAGTTTCAATAATTCCTTCTGGTTGCAGAAGACAATGCATATAGAACTGGAGTTCTTTAATAGTAGGTCCCCTCATATCAAGGAAGATTACAGTTTGTTCTGTGTCTGGTGCAGCTTTCCATTAAGCCTCTGAAAATGAAATTTGCAGGTGCTTTGTGTGGTAACAAATTCCGGCCCAGGATAGGTGTGATTTTGAAGTGTTAAGTGGCTATAGGTGATGTCTTGCTGTGGTCACAGTTTCTCACCCGTTCTGAACCCCAGCCACACAGAGCACTCAGCATCCATTTGTGGAAAGTACGCTGCTAGAGTTTAACACTCAAAGGCTAGATGAATTTCTCATATGAGAGGTGGCAAGAAGGGAGGGGACAGGTTCAGAAAACAGTTGGAGAAAGTGCTGTGATCTTGGTGTGACAGTGTGTTACAACCTACACTAGTCTCTCTTTTTTGTTCCCTTTGGTTTTATTTCACAGCATTTTTCTTCAAGTTCACGTATTACTTGTTTTACAGAAATAGAAATCCTTTTGTAATTAGTAAGAGAGAGCAGTTTATCCCTGCTGTGGCAGGCTAAGTTATCGTTGTAAAAAAAAAAAACCAAAATTGGGGAGTGTCAGCAATAAGCTGGCCAAATAAAATCAACCCACCGAAGTCTGGGAGAGCTCAGAAGAGTGCTAGCTTTTGGTAGTTCTTTATATGATGTTGAAACATATGTAAAACTTTCTACCTTCAAAGTCTGGGAGAGCTCAGAAAAGTGCTAGCTTTTGGTAGCTCTTTATATGACGTTGAAACATATGTAAAACTTTCTACCTTCTTTTTGGAAAGTAAGCTAAGGAAACAGGCATTGTTTTGCAGAAGGTTGAATACTTCTGTTTTGTTCTTTCCTCAGGATGCAGTGCATCGTTAACAGACTGAGTCGCCTTCTGAAACCAGGAGGAATGATTTTGTTACGAGATTATGGCCGTTACGATCTGGCCCAGCTTCGGTTTAAGAAAGGTATTTTCTTTTCCCTTGGGGAGTCTTGCCAGATGACTCATAGATGATGCTTCTCTGGAGTGGTTTCTACCCTGTTTAGGAGGCAGCTCATTAATTCTCCTTAAGCACAGCGTGTGCTGGGAGAGGTGCCTCTTGTTGGATGGCAGTTGTTGATTTTTAAATGGTAGCTGGTAACTGTTTAAATCCCTCTTGCCCTTAGGTCAGTGTCTGTCTGATAACTTCTATGTGAGAGGTGATGGCACCAGAGTCTACTTCTTCACACAAGGTAGGAGGCTAGAAAACATCCCTCTGACTCTCCTCACTTCTTTATGTCCCTGTGCCTTCAAGTTTTGCCACTGGCTGTTTCCAGCCCGTCTTTGTTGGAGCAGTGTGAAATGTTAAGTGTCTCCAACTGCACGAGGATCTGGGCTTGTCACTTGCTGATGTGAATATGGCATGGTGAATTCCTTAGTGGAAAATCCTTTTAGGGAAGACTAGTGTATTTGGTACACTGGGAGAGGTGGGGATTGGAGGAGCTCTCCCCGAATCTTGCTGCCTCCAGAGGATGGAGTGAGATGGACACCACTGGAAGGAACTTCTTTTAACTTTACTGTTCTCCTACAAGGAAGTAAGAAGGGTGTGGTTCAGCATAGAGCTGAGGTAGCCGCTCCAGTTCTGCTGCTGCTTGCTGTTCAACAGGGGATGTATTCTCCCTGCTTATCCCCAATTGCAACTTCCACCACGGGCCCTCTGCACGGTCAGTTTTAGACCAGTGGCACAACTGCAGCAAACTATTCCCTTCGCCACTGCACAAGTCTTGTTTGTCACAACAACATTAATGTTAATGCGTGTTTGGCAAACGCTTCACAATGGCAAGCATCTGATAAAAGAGCACAAGCTGGGACCTGTTAGCCCTTTTCTGTAGAAACTCCGTACAAATCACGTGCTCCCAGGCTGCAGTGGAACAAGCTCTCTGCTGCTCAGCAGGACTCGGTCTGGCTTTGCCCTCGGCCAGTGTGCTGGGGCACTGTGATACTTATTTGCTTGGTCAGGAATACCTGCCAGTGTAAGTTGTTGCAGCCTGGAGGCTCTTAGTGCTTTCATTGGACCCCAGCAGGGTGTGGTTTTTTAAGGAATTTTTTTCCCAAACTTAAGCGTAATGAATCCTGTTCCCCTCCAGCCTATACAGCCCAGATCTTACTGCCACCATTTAAAAGCATAGGTCTGATCCTGTTCTTTGCTCTGGCAGACTCGGAAATTCCTCTGGAGAGAGGGCGGAGGGAGAAGGAATGGATCTGTCCCTACTCGCCAGAAGATGCTGCCTTAATAGGTTACTAGAGGCAATAGCCATGTCTGAAACTGCTGCTATTTTCCCTTGTCAAGTCTCTATAATTCTAGTTGTCCTCCACATAGTTCTTTCATTCCCTGGTAGAAGGTAAACTCAGGGGAAACTAGAGAAACTGTGATCTTAATCCCCCGTATTGTAGTTGTTACATCTTGTCTGATCTTTACATTTCCTTGTGAGACCATGACTTTCCTTTGGCTCATCTTTCAGCATGGTTTAGCCCTCAGTGTGAGCAGGTGTCAGTGAAATGAGTGCTGTGGTATCCTCAATCTCCTTCTCTCTGCTTCCAGATGAATTGGATGATCTCTTCACAACAGCTGGGCTGGAGAAAATCCAGAATCTGGTTGATCGGCGATTGCAGGTGAACCGTGGGAAACAAATGACAATGTATCGAGTATGGATCCAGTGCAAATACCGCAAGCCTGTCGCCCCTGAACTGTGAGGAACTGGGGCACACGTTTTAGGTTGGAGCCTCTTCGTGGCCACGAGCAATGTGTCCTCCTGGTGAGATGTGGTTTTACAGAGTTCAGCACACACAGGACCTCAGTGCCTTTTACAGTGCCTAGCATCACTTCAAGTGAGTTTTGCTAAGGACAAATGCTCCAAGAGGAGACCAAGCAGTATTTTAGATGTCTTGCTACGGGTTTGAGGTTTTTTTTAATTATTTGTGGGTTTAACAACTTAAGAAATGGTGAAACTGTCTTGCAGCAGCTGAGCAAGTTGAGTAGCTAGTCACTTTTACTCTGGATTTCCACATGAAACAGAAGGAGAGCGTCGACCTTACCTCTGTGTTGTGTACTCTTGTCTTGGGAACAAAAACCATACAAAAGGTAAATCTGCTCTTTGCAACTGGTCTCTATGCCTATATGGATCCCTCAGCCAACTTATCTCATACAGCTCTCTTCTAGTCATTCAGGTTTGTGCAAATCCACAAGTTTAAAATACATTGATCGAGGGCAGGAACTGAGAGCATGCGAGCTTCTCTGTGCCAGCTTCCCCATGGATGCCTCAAGGTGTGCAGATAACCTGTGGAGGAAGCAGATTATTCTGCCTTGCCCTCGCTGTTCACAAGGATGTTCATTGAGGGAGCTAGAACACTATAGCTCAGGTGCTATAAATTTGTATTGGGCAAGGTTCTGACTTTCAAAGATTTGGGGCTGATGCCAGTTTCAGGGCACCTCCAGAATGCAGAGTATCAGCAGCAGCTCACGGGACCAGGGTTTACACAGGATTACCTGGTTTTTCTGCTTGAGCAGGGAGAAACTGTTCTTGCTGGCTGCAGCCCCCAGGCCACGAATTGCACTGCCCTGTCATGGCGGTGTGCTAAATCCAAGTAGACAAGACACCTGTCTGGGATGAGAAATCTGAAGAATGTCTACCACTCTTGTTTAATTTCTTAGATGAAGCCAACATTGTGGCTTTCTGAAGGTATTTCCCCACCTTTGACAGCAAATATTTTTTAACTCAGCTTGTTTTCTTTTGTTATTTTTAGGGTGTGGTACAACAGGTATTAGAATAAATTTTGTGATGATGCTTTTCAGTGCTGGTTTGATTAATATAAATAAGGCTTCCACAGAAACTCACATGCTTCTGCATGCCTGACCTGAAGGATTAAGGCCACCATTAGGTAACTACAGTTTTTTTCCACTTCTGTTATCATGAGTCTCACTAGTGCCTACTCTCATCTGTCAAGAAGGGAAAGCCTTGCCTGATATCTCCCACCTTGTTTTAGTTCCTGAAGCAACAAGATCTATTGTGTGTGCACTGCTGGCGGAAGAGCAGGTCATGCTACACAAAGCATGTATATTTTGTTAGCTAGATGCTAGTATTTGTAGCTTACAGTTGCCTAAGAATAACTGTCAACTATACAGACACATAGGTTATGAAATAACTGTCTTGAAACAGGAAAGAAAGGGTAAAAAGATGAGGAAATGTCATTGCTGTCTTTGGAGAGTCTGCAGGAGTCTGTCCTGGAGAGTCAAACCAGGAGCACCCTGATCTGTAAAGCGTTGGAAGGGACTGTAGCAATACTCTTTGCTGGGCCTGTGACAGCGTGATCAGTTCGTAACTTCCATGTCACTCTGTCACCTTGCAGGTATTCGTATGTCTGCCACCCAGAGGCCTCTGGGTCAGGACATTTCAGCCCTTCCTGTGGAAAGGTTACCCAGCAAATCCATTCACACCACAAGGGCAGGTTGCGGTGCTGGGGTGGGAATGGAAATGCTCTATTGCTTTTTTTATATAGCTAGCTTTTTTACTGTTGAAAGCGAATCACATAACTGGGAAGAGAATTCTTGTTCGATTTGTTGTACTATATTTCCTGAAGGGCTAAGCAACTTTCCAATGTCTGCAAGTGACATAGGAGATAAGGCTTGAAGCAGCTTGTTTTGGAAAGCAGAAAAATGAACAGGAGATTGTTTTGCTTCACAGCTACTGTGTGGCCTTTTCTGCTGCTCCATCTCCTGTCCTTTTTCTTAAAGGCAGTTCAAAAATCACACCTCGCTACTGACCTGCCCTTGATACATCTCCACTAGGGTGCAGGGGGAGAAACATCACATGGGGGGAGCACGTGTTCCTTGGCACTCTGGTTCCTGCTGGTCAGCTCAGCATGTGGGCTTGAAAAGCTGAAGGGAACCATAGTGCTGAAGGCAGGGAAAGCAGAAGAAAATGTCAACCGGGGTCTTAAATTCTCCTTCCGTCCCTCCCACTTGTCCCCAACACATTTGACTTCTGCTGGGCACAAGCCTGACACAACCCAGAAGCTGCGCAGTCGCAGCTATGATTTCATGCTAGACCTACAAAGTCTGGTTCCATGGCAAGGTTGGTACCTCAGGCAAGGTCTAGGCAAAACACAGCTCAAGGCCTCTGGCACCTGAGCGAGCTCACGTCTCCTCATCTCATCCAGGCAGAGTCAGGCTTAGCAGAAGAAGTCCTGTGAGTGTTCAACGTGATGTGACTCACGTAACTAGCTCTGTCGCTTTCCGTGAAAGACCTCCCATATGTTACTGGTGCCTTACACAGTTCCCTGGGGTCCTTTTCCTCTCGGTCCCTGGAGGGTGACCTCCTCCTGGGATAGCTTTATCTCACTGGAAGAAAAATTCTTGACTGGGGTAAACAAGCAGCATAATTAGTGTGAATTAAAGTAATTTGAAAAATGCCTTATTAATCATCCAAAGGCTTGTAAGCAGTGCAGGAAAATATGTTTTTAATTATAAACATAATTTATTTAAAGTTGATGGACTCCCCTTCAAGTTGAAACTTCTGAATGGGAGAAAATGAAGGCTAGTAATTTATTTGTTTCTACTTTTAAGGCTATATCCGAGCTGCCTGCCTGGTTTTGACTTGGGCTTCATGCAAAAACTTGCAGCCCCATGAGCCTGCAGCCACTGAAGTGCCTGTTTGGCTTTCTTAATGCTCTTCGTTCTGCTGGAGTATTTAAGCAATCGCTCAACATGAACCATGCTGGGCAGACATGCCTTTGTTTCCAGTCCTGTTGGTGGTGTTCAGAGAGCAACAAGTTAATGGCCTCGAATTGAGCCAGGCCTCCTACAGACAGATACTGTCTGAGTTTCCTTCATTAATCTCCACCAGCTCCCGTTCTCTCTGAAGCTGCTGCTCTCCTGCGACTCCGGGCCTTGCCTCCCACATAGCTCTGCTCAGGTACCTTGGCCCTGACTTGCACCAGCTTCTGCCATTCCCACCTTGGGCCTGCTGAGCAGGCTGGGTTGCACAACAGCTTTCTAGCGTGTTCAAAGGAAACCTCTGAATTCACTTTTACTGCATTGAAGAGCCTTTATTTTTTTTGTTTTTGTTTGGGTTTTTTTCCCCCATTCCTTTTTAGCAGTGTAACATTAGCTTTAAAGCCATTCTGAACGTATCTGCTCTGGTTTTGTTCCCAGCATTCCAGGCTTGTGGTCTGCGGCTGGCAGGCAGTGCCAGCGTAGCTTGTCGAACCTCCCAAGCAGAAGAGATGATTTCATAGCTCTTCAGAGGCGCTGCCCCTGCGATTCTGGAGCCAGACATTGTTCCACTTCGGAAAGTCTGGTCCTGGCCCTTGCCAGAGGATGGTGGATTTCCTTGGAGGTTCGTAGATTGTTTTGGCTGTAAGGGAACTTTATCATCACCTATTCTGACCCTTTGCATAACCCTTTCATGTAGGGGTTATGGCATCAAGCCTGTGACTTGGGCTGATCCAAAACTAGTCCTTCAGAAAGGCTTTTGATCCAGCCATGATGCTGAGGGCTTCAGTGAATGGCAAAGAACCCTTGGCCTCCCCAGGTATGTTGTTCCTCTCAGGGCACCCTGATTTCATAGATTGGCTAGAAACTGGGCGGCGTGAAGGGAACGGGAGGTAAAGAGAATAAGAGGCTGGGAAGTATTTCTGATGCTCTCACTTCAAAAATAAATAAATTGTAATTTCTACTGAAGATTGTAGCTTTCTTAGAATCTTCCTGATAGCACAGGAAAGTGGGAAATGGCAGTCATCCTTAGTGATTTTTTTGTTGTTGTGACAGAATCACAGAATGTTAGTTGGAAGGGACCTCTGTGGGTCGTCCAGTCCAACCCCCCTGCCAAAGCAGGGTCACCCAGAGCAGGCTGCACAGGACCTCGTCCAGGCGGGTCTTGAATCTCTCCAGAGAAGGAGACTCCACAGCCCCTCTGGGCAG